TCTCTTCGTGTAGTGTGCAATTACGGTATTTTTTTCGAACCCAAACTGTAATAATTACCTACAGTAAATCCTCGTTTTATATTTCAAAAACGAACAAAATGAAAAACTGTTTCGTTATATGTACGTATTGTTTTTTTCGTAGTAATTTAATAACCCCGAATATGTATTAGGTAAAGCCGCCATACAATTATGACACAAAATAATAATCCGGAACCCTTTGATCAAAAATTATTCCCGGCGCAACAAATTGCTTTTTTGATGCGTTCGTTGCTGCTTAATTAAAATAAAAATTAACTAGTTTGTTATTGTGCTTTGACAGACGATTGTTGTGTTGTTTGTATGAATTTTACATAAAATGGACGTTCGGTCCCCGTCGTGTGACGATGGGAATATGAAATAGGTTTAATAAATAATTTATTTATAGCGGTTTGTTCCCTGACTTTTTTTCTTTTTATTTATTTTATCCATTCGACATGCATGACGGGATGTAAATTGAAATGTTCATCTGTACAATGCAATTGACGTTTTGATATCAGATACTGCATTATTAATTACTTCGGTAACTTTATTAATTTACTAATTTAATAAAAACGGAACAGCCTGTTCCAACCCGACTGCATTCAAAATGCATTCCTTGTGTTCGTCTAGTCTGCTTTTAATTCGCATTAATTTAATTAGTGCATTTTTGTCAGCCATATTTCTGGTGTGAAGACAAGCACCACTGATTTATACGTGACAGCTCTAAAACATTCTAACATCTAATAATTTACCCAAAAAAAATGTCATTTTTCCGTATGAACGGATCCCCCTAAACGATCCGCACAGCTTGGACGCCGCGCGCGTACTGAAGCGCCGTGCGTTCGCTATGTTGACAGAAAGCGAGCGCGTACCTATCCCCACTCCCACTACTAATACCGCGCGTATGCTTGAGGATCTATACCGCGCGTGGCTTGGAGATCTATACCGCGCGTGCCTTGCAGCTTTTATTTCTTTTCGTCATAACTCTTATACCGTTTGAGATATTGTGACGGGACAAAAACTATTTTTATTCTGAACGTGTTCTTTATAAACCAAACATGCGTATACATTTTAATATTATCTAATCTTGAAAATATTCACTCCATCTTTTTGTCTGGTACAATTCAAAATCAGGATATCGATACTGAGAAACTCTTATGGATTGTACGATATAAGGGGTTGAGAAATATGATAGTGTTGCATTACGAAATCTTTCGTCGGTGAGCAGAGTAAAGTGCTAGATGTGTACATAACATAATGTAACTTTGTCTAGATGTATACGAATGTAAATAGATCCGCGTATTCCTTCTCAATTTTCCGTCACGTCATCTGTAAATTGAAAGTACGTTAACTTCATTTGAAAATTTCGGATCAAAAATTAAATTTTTAATCCTGTTTCAAGTACTAAAACTTTTGTACGTTCAAATTTACCTGTCGATTTGTAAGTAGCGTTTAATCTGTCAGATTACGGTCGTAACTAGATCGAATCGGTCGTTTTTTTTCCTGTGATCGTTTAGTGAAACGTTCTGTTTATTTATCTGAAAGGAAATTAATTAATTCGGAGACATCAGACAGATCCACCCTTCGAACGAACATCCCTATAATCTTAAGATTAATTAATTAGCCTTATCAGAATTTTGTCGAGCGTGAACCTCTCCCGTAACCGGCTCCCTTATTATCAACTAAATGGACGACTGTTACTATTATCGTGAGCACTCAGGAACAAAGGATTGTTAAGATATAGTGACACAGAGCGCTTAAATCGTCTTCTTCGAAATTTTGCAATAAAAATGTTGGCGATTAAAGATGATTGTTATAACAGAGACGTTATGTCAGACTTTAAGCCAGGGAGGGACTATTTCTAATAAGAAAAAGGTTTTAGGTAATCGTTGGGATGCAGCACGATTCCAATAGATGGCGACATACTACCCATAACTTGATATTGATATAAACAAGTATCGAAGTAGATCTTCGTGAGGCCTCAAAACCTCATGTACACCCTCCGGCTCTCTCTCTCTCTGTACTCTGATGAGTGTTTCCCAAGGAAGATGCTTATGTCTCTTTGACGAATTCTTTGAGTAGTTACGCCAGTGTGAGTTTTGTACCACAGAAAAGGAGAGTCACTTAATTAACGAAAAGGACTTCTAACGCTCGTCAAATAGACCACTTTCGCTCTATTTCTCCCTTATCTTTCGACTGCTGCACCGAGCAAATATGCTAAAACTTTAATTTCGCCTATGCAAAAGTTAATGGTGCATAGAATCATCTGTTGGGAGCGTCAGCGACCAAGTTTAATAGCCCAGTCTGGTACCGTGGTTACCCACACTTACACACACACACAGGCATTTTACCATGCATTCTAAAGCGGTTTATCTTTCTCTCTCTCTTTCGCACTGTTTCGCTCCAAGATTCACAATTAAAATATGTCCCGCCATATATCTTGCCGGCCGCGCGAACCGTGCAGATTAACACTTACTCTTGGCGCGCTAATTCAAATTTGTGGCCCATGAAACTACGCACTAAAATGCGGGTAATTAATTGCCTGACTACGGATCTCTATACATATATGTATATATAACATACGGTGTACATACGCCACTGCTGCTACTACGATAGAATGACCGTCTTCAGGTCTCGACCTTTTGGAACTTCTAGACCACTTTAAAGTCGTTGTAAAAATAAAGTATGTACAGGGTTGGGGACGTCGCGAGCAAGGCGGCGGAAAGGGAACCCCGTTACCCCCAGGATAGTTTAAAAATCCTACATACAAATTACTCAATCGATTATGATCGATTAAATGTCATGTACGTAGACCCAAAGTTTCTCTGACGTCCTGGACATTACTCTAAACTCTAACTCTCTCATTGAAGATGACACTTTGTTTGTCAAAACGTGTTTTAGGCTTCTAAATGTTTTGTGGAATTTTGGGTTTCAACACCTTGAATGTGAGAAACCAAAGTAGACAAAGTACCTGTCTTCGTTTCTCAATCAAAAAAAATAAATTATTAATTTTCTTCATTTGATATTTATACTGACTCAGTAGCTGCAATTGTTACATATTACTGCGCCCCTAACGTACATTATAATTTGACGATGTCTTTTATTCCTTGTATTTACACCTTTTTTTGCTCTTTTCTGAGCATCTCTAATTGCATTGTTGGCATTTTACACGCTGGATATAACGAGTACGTACTTGTTCCTTGTAACAAACAATTGCTTACGGCCGTTTCTATTCCTTTTTTTCCCCCAATGCAATAAGTTAACTTTGCCACGTCCGTTTTTTCTCTCTCTCTCTCTCTCTTTCTCTCTCACTCTAATCATCTTTCTCTTCCCATGTAAACTTTCATTATTACGGGAGGGAAACAACGCGTAAACTGACTTCCAATTAAACCATCCTTTTGTTTGCATTTCCAGTTGCACTAGTAACTTTCACAAAGGACGAAGGATCATTCCTTTTTTTATTATTATTTTTTTTATTTCGCGCTTTTCGCACTTCAACATACGCTCGTGTACAATCGACTATCGTAAGTGGTGAATCACAACGAAGTTGGGAGTTACGATCAACGACGTATGCGAAAAAGAAACAAAAATAAAAAGATTGGTGCAACCAATAAGTGGTAAGGGACGAGGCAAACAATAAAACTTAAATATATTCCGTCTAACTCCAATGTCGCTTTCTTTTGTTTCCCTTTGTCTCTCTCTCTTTCTCTTTCGTGTGTTTTTGAAGCTAACTTCACGCTGATTCACCACTTATAATAGTAAACTGTGCATACATCTAGTATAAAAATTCTGTTTCGTTTTAAATTCTCATAAGTATCACCCAGTGTGAGTATAGATACTGTCCTTTTTTGATAACAATTTGAAATTCGGTTTCTAGTAAACTTATATAGTTCTAGTTCTGTCGCTGTCGTTGCCAGTGAATATGGAATGTAGGATATGCTTCTAACTTTGGTAAAATTGACGAAAGCTCCGTGCATGTTCTTATTGGAATTTAGTTACTAAATTTGTAAACTGTTGCACCGGATAGCGCTTTCATCTGAGTTTAATTGAACCTCGTTTGGCAGTTCCAGACCGGCACAGACTTATACCACTCCAGAACTTATTGCTTTGTCAGATCTCCGAACTGATTAAGATTTTCTTTGAATTAATCAGACCAAACCAAATTTCAACGTAACTTATCCGACTATACTAACATATATATTAATATTAATACGTTACATCTATAAACCAACGAGAAATACAAATAATTATTATATCTACTGGTTAATGTACGATATATTAAATTTTAGTTACAAAATAACTTCTGCAAGAATGTTTTTTTGAGTACTAACTTTAAATGTTTTGCGTGAAAGGAAGAAAAGACCTTAAATAAAGGTATTAGATGAACTTAAGAAGGAAATATAAAATTGCCGAAATAAATTGGCGAGTTGTTGGGTGTGGAAATGAAAAATTGTTGTTTTAGGCTTGACAACGATGCCACCATAAATTCAAGTGGCTTAACTAAATTTCGTTTCGTTGTGACACTTACAGGAAAGTTTTTTTATTATATTACCGAAAGAACGCTCTCACAAATGCTGTAATTAACGACTATAATTGTTGAAACGGGTAATCTACGACCTGGTGCTATTATTCAATTCGTTTATGTACGGAATGAAAGAAAATTTTTAGTCTCGGCCAGGCAAATTTGAAAGCGAGCAAATTTTCAAAAACAAGGTAAATAATAATTAATAATAATTTTCCCTGAATTGACGAACTATGTCGACTGTAAAGGGAATTTAATTATACAATTCACTTACTTACCTGCTGTCTGTTCTTCTGACTCGCACAATCCTTTGAACAATATTCTCTTGCTCTATTTTTGCGTTAATTGGAAAAATATTAAGATTCCTTTTTCAGGAAGGTAAAGTTAAAATTAATTCAATTTGAAAACAGTACAGGTATATTATATTTTTCAACACATTTACATTGTAATCACACCGATGTTCTCAAAAGGAAAAAATATATTTACATCTTACAGTTTTAAATCATTGTCCTCTTTCTTACACCAGATGTATGTATGTATATATTCGACATAGAATTATTTTTAATATTTATTTACATGAGTGTTTAGTATGTAGTACAAAATGAAAGTTTATGCTAAGTTATCATTCATCACTTATCACTGTGTCAAAGTGAAAGTATATTACATGCACAACTCTTTGAAACTTTGTTCATAAAAACACAAATTAATGGGTTAGTAGGAAGAGGAATTATATGTATGTATGTATAGTGAATTATTTGGGTTTTAGTTTCACCCTATTCAATACGTAAACATAAACGGCTAGAAATATCACTTGATGAGTTAATTTCCTTTTGAATAGAGAGACACTGAGAGTCTTTTAAAAGGTTGACTCAAGTTCATAATAATGTGCCTGTATCACAGCGTTTATAGGATTGAGATAAGGGCTGCATTTAGAATCACTATCACTGTTAAAAGAAACGTCCTGCTGTAGAATAAGGACCTGAAAGTTTTATCAGTGGAGGACGCGAGAGCACCTGAAACTCTGTCCATACAAATTTCGAATTCTACAAAATCCACACGCGTAATCGCACAGTAGTGGTGCAGGGCGCAGCCGAAGCCGCAACCTCCGATAACTCCAACAGAATTGGCCCGAAAGTACCTGAAAAATAGAGGACAGAAAATGGACAATATTAAGAAAAAGTTGGAGCAGTTAGGGACACACAACATTTCAGTAAAATCCACAAGGATATAGATTTGTGGAACTGAATCTACGGCATTGTGTTAGATACGGTTGGAGTTTGTTCCTGACGTTTCGCGAGCATGCTCCATCCAGTATCGGAGATGGAAGAATCTCTGCTTGTGCCAGCGAAACGTTAGGAAGCAACTTCAACCGACGAAGGTCTTTAGACTCGGATTAGGATTAGAATTACTAATTTACCTTTTTAATTATTTGATCGTACCTTGTAAATTTCTGGCTTTCTGACAACGGGCTAAGCGTTAACTTCTCTGCTAATCCGTGCAGCGTTAATGGCGTTATCTGACTGATACCGTAATAACTGCTGAAATTGTACTCGACCTGCCAGTTGGGATCTTCCTTAGAAGTCTTCGGTAAGTCCAGGTAGTATTGCGAATAATCAATTATCTGAAAATAACGTTGTTAATACATAACTTTTGCCGTTCGCCAGAATTTCTGTACGAAACGTTTTTAGAAATACGTTTAAAAGTAATAAACGTTCTTAACTTATTCGGAAACGGCATACAGACTAGACATCTGGCACTATATTTAGTAGCAAATAGTTCAGCTTTTAATGTTCACATATGGCATATAAATGGGCCAGAAAAGGGAAGTATTTTAACTTCTAAAGAACCGACTCTTACATTAAATTCCATTACTTTCTCGCATTATGAAGATATACGACTCGCGAGTTATTGTACAAAATAAGTGACCTAAAAGCCACCGTAAATCAAAAAGGAAACCATTCAAGTACCCTCTTGTAATCGTTTAATTAAAATGTAGAAAAGACGCGATGAAATTGGCGACAAGGTTTCTTTTTTAAATTCATAAGTACAAACGTCCGTACTGAAACTGTTAAGACACGAAAGATGAAAGTAATTTTCGCGATAAAGCAGATTTTTTCCGATAGTTTTGCGAGTCCCTTTCAACATTTATTTTGGTTTGTTTTAGCGACAATTCCGCTACATTTTTCCACGATTACAATTGTCGGTATTTTACGGGTTGCATCCCTTTTAATTTCGGTCGAAATTAACAGCCGGCCATATCCGCCCAGCAATCGTAATCAAATTTTGTAGTAGTTCGTTCGGTCCCCTAGTATCTTTAAATTACAGGACAAACCACCGCCAGACCGAACGGTCTCGCTCCTGTACACGAGAGAGGGAAAAAGAAGGGACGCGAAATTTTCGAACTGGTCGATACCCACCAGAGGAATTAGCGCGAATTTTACACTCCGCTACGTTGCACTTTTATTGTTCTGTCTTTAAGCCCCCCCCCTTCCCTCAAAGTTGGTTTAGTATCACCTGTCCATCGAAAAAATCAAACAACAAAAGACTAATCAGCCAGATTACTACAGCAGCAGCTATCACAATCAAGGAATCCGTGTTGTCATCGGTATTTTACAACAGACGTCGTGGCGCATCGATAAAATGTATCCAGTCGTAAACTGTAAAGATGTTGAAAATTGTACAGTACCATCCCAATCACCTGTGCAGCTTCCTTGTCACGCGCGGACTAACATCGAACGCTAATAACGCGCGCGTCTACTCATTCTCCCTCCCAAGTCTCGTCGCATGTACCGTATGCACATTAGAGACTTCCGCGGACGTCCGCTGTTTCTTCTCTCCCTCTATTCTCGCCTCCTGCACCGTGCGTACTTTACAGGCTGCCACGCGTGTCCACTGATTGTCCTCTCAGTCACTCCCGCCACCTGTACCGTGCGTACTTAAGAGATTACCTCCAGCGTCTACTGATTCTCAACTCCTTCTACTATCGTTGCCTGCACCCTGCATAAATCATAGGCCACTGCGCGCGTCTATTGGCTATGCTCCCCGCCACTCCCATCCCCTGTACCGTGCGTACTATTGAGACTACCGCGCGCGTACATTGACTGTCCTCTCCACCAGTGCCGCTGCCTGTACCGTTCGTACTTTAGAGGCCACCACGCGTGTCCACTGATTGTCCTCTCCGTCATTCCCGTCATCTGTACCATGCGTACTTTAGAAACTACCACGCGTGTCTTCTCATTCTTCCACCTAATTCTCGCCGCATGTACCGTATGCACATTAGAGACTTCCGCGCGCGTCAACTGTTTCGCCTCTTCCTCCATTCTCGCCTCTTGTGCCGTGCGTACGTTTGAGACTACCGCGCGCGTACAGTGACTGTTCTCTTCGATAGTGCCGCTGCCTGTACTGTTCGTAATTTAGAGGCCACCGCGCGTGTCCACTGATTGTCCTTTCCATCATTCTCGTCACCTGTACCATGCGTACTTTAGAAACTACCGCGCGCGTCTTCTCATTCTTCCACCTAATTCTCGCCGCATGTACCGTATGCACATTAGAGACTTCCGCGCGCGTCAACTGTTTCGCCTCTCCCGCCATTCTCGCCTCTTGTACCGTGCGTGCGTTTGAGACTACCGCGCGTGTACATTGACTGTCCTCTCCGCCAGTGCCGCTGCCTGTACCGTCCGTACTTTTGAGGCTACCGTGCACCTCTACTCATTCTTCCATCCACGCGCGCCTAATAATTCTCCTCTGCCCTACTCCCGCGGCCTGTACCGTGCGTACTTTATAAGCTACCGTGCCACCGCGTTCGCAAAGAAATTCGCTCATAACTTGCAAACCCTTTAAGGGATCGAAATAAAGTAAAAACTGTTCTTTACGACACGTATCCCGCGTTCTTTTTAGAGCAATGATAAAGGAGCTCTTACCTCGCCGGTGTACCTGTCGAACTTGTACAACCGCAATCCGGGATTGTTGTGGCCGACGTGGAGTCTTCGAGGTGTAAGGGACGGGGCAATAAAAGCCCAAGATACGGGAGTACCTGAAACAAATGACTGCAACGTGCGCGTAGACATTTCGAAGTGTTCACCTACCTTCCTCGTCGTAGAATATCCTGTAGGTGTCTGAATGAAGATGGCCGAAAAACTGACCCACGATTATCTTGGAGTACTTTCGTACTATCTGGAGATATTTTTTATTGTAGTAATCGGAATAAGCTTGGTCTGGAAGAGTCCCTTGCCTCTCGTCGGATCCTGGAGGAATGTGACCTGCTATGTAGACCTGTAACGACACGATCGAACGTTTTCTCGTTTCTTTTATTCTATTTCATCTAAAGACGGTAATGAAAAGTATAAAATAATTAAAAACTCTTTTTTTTTTGGGAAAGTTTTGTCGTTTTAGAAAGGAAACGGGGATTTCTCGTGCTTATTACAATTGTAAAACCATGAAGGAGAATTTTGCATTTCAACGAACAAAAGATTTTCGTTCTCCCTTTAATTTTCTTTCGGGAGAATAACGTCGCCTGACGTCGTCGCCCTTATCCGTCGTATTTCTTGTTCTCCTTCTTGTTCCACCGCCCCCCTCCCCCCCCCCCGACCGAATCGGCATACAAGAAGGGGGGTGTCGGGAGCACTTAAAGTCACTTCCGTCACCACGTTCATTGTTTGTACATTTCCGAAGTAAATGTACACAGTTACGTAGAGAATTCGTTGAATAGGGGCGGCTGCAAGGGACGGGGAATTATTACTAATAATAATTCTAAAGATAATTTTATGCGAAATGGCACAGAACTTCTGTTATCGTTACGCCGAATTCCGGCTCTAATTAATATTCCATTGTTTTGAAAGGGTGGTTTGTTACCTCTTCCAAATCCCTCTGAAGCCCTCCACGACTTACCGTTTCAACTAGCTACTCCAATTCTGGAGTATTTACTTGAAAAATCTATGAATATAAATAAACGTTCGCGAAAACATTTTTGCCCAAAGAAATTATTTATTGAAATTGTTTGTTATGTATTTTAGTCAAGTTTAATTAAATACCTTTCCTTTTGTTTCAGATATTAAAGCCTACCAAACGTCGTTAAGGGTGAGTCTAAATTTTATATTACTTACTGATGGAGTTATTTTTAATATCAAACAGAGAACACGAATAAGAACGATATAATGTTGAAGATATGTAAGTCCTTCATATCTTTTTATTCGCTTCCTTTTATATAATGGAATTTCCCCGATTCTGCTACTTATATACACACACTTTCCCTTATTTTTCCCTCTGTATTTATTATCTTCGAGCATCGTACGAGTCGCTTTGGATCGCGTTTATTTTTTGTCGTTATCAAAAGTGGTATAAAATGTAATTAAAGTTAAAGAGGTTGTCGACAAGTAGACATGTACGTGAGTGTTCTTGAGACCGTCGCGACGTCGAACGTCGCTCAGGCAGGATATATTTTGTCGTAGTCGTACTCGTCGTATGCTATCAGCTAAGATGTTGAATAATTATTATGTGTAGCTACATTGACGAAGAAGCCACCCCAAGAATAATCCGACCGTGAATTTTTCTACCACAGATCCTTATCTTATATACCCTTACACAGAAATGTAATTGGAAAAGAAATGATAGCAAAACCCTTTAGAGAACTGCTAGAGAACGGAAAAGTAGGTAAAAAGATCATAAAAAATATTGAGTACCTTGTATATTTCCCTGTAATAATTTGAATTAAATTGAAGGGTTCTTCAAATATTGTAAATTCAATTGCTATACTATTGCTGTTCTACAATGTACAATAACAATTGCAATTTAAGCTTACCATTGTCAAATTTTAAACAAAAACTAAGTGTTTTAGAAACAGTTGGCATTTATAATGTAACGTTTGCGATGCTTGCTACATCGGACAAAGTGCTAGTGTCATTAAGAGTAGAGTTACAGAACATTTAAAAAGCGACGATAAAAAGTCGCCAAAGCTGGTTTTTCAGAACATCGTGTCTTATCAAGCCATCCCTTAGATCACAATAACTGCACTATTAATTCGTTTAATTCTATACTTATTACAAATGACATTTAAAAATGTTTATGTAACAACAATTAGGTATGTATCGTGAAAGAGAACATGCTGCTTCATTCTTAAATGCATATCTTGGAAACATTTAAAATATCAGCAACTAAAGCCCTTTGCATGACAGCGGCTACGAGGCAGCACAGGGAAATTAATAAGAAACGGATTACAAGGAAACAAAGACCTTTGTTTGCTTACTATTATCCCTTCGATCGATTTGGTTATGTTTGGCTAAATAATTTGTCCCTTATCGTGGCTACAGTTGTTACGCCTTATCTCGCATGTCAACAGGTCAATTTAAAAGTACGAAAATCGATTGTAAACAAAAGGAAAAAGTGGGAAAACAAAAGCTAACGTGCGGGCAAAAAATTGAAGCGCGCCTTTAAAAACAAAAACTGTTTTCTTGGGACTCACCGTCTCCTTGTGGTGTTCACATTTCACCAGTACTTTGTTCAGCCATTCCCACTGTTTGTTCGCGTCCTCGTCATGTTTACCTTTGGTCATCAGGTTCGTGTTGAGGACAATGATCTGTAACTTATGCGTTTTCCTCTCGATCAAATAGTAACCGCCTGTAACGAATTATCTACATTGATTAGATTGATCTCCATTATCTACGAGTTAACTTTACCCGATTCGAATGTCTTCATTGAATCGGTGGGCAGCCAACGACTCCACATGCGACCCAATTGCTTCTGTGACCCCGGATCATCGTGACCCAGGGCGGGAAACACGAACTGGGAACTGAATGTCTTCGTCAGTAAATCTGTTAAATTCTGCATGTATTCTAACTGAAGTGCTTTTTCGTATCGTCTTATGGAATGCGACATGGCATCCCTGAAACGACAACGTTAGAAAAAGGATAAAGAAAATAATTAGTTAGACATCCTGATCGAGTCTATTTTAGTGTTAAGAAATCAAGGATACTTAGTTTGTATAAAGAGTAATAGACAGTTATAGAGTTGGGGTTGCAATGTAGAGAAGTGAATATTAGGAAGGGAGTCAGACAAGGATGTACACTGTCATCGCTACTTTTTAATCTATACATCGAAGACGCGATCAAAATCATTAAAGACAGTACAACTGTAGGGATAGACATACAGGGGCAAAATATTAGTATGCTTAGATTTATAGATGATGTAGCAGTATTAGCATCTAGCAAGGAGGAGTTAGACATAGCTTTAAATAAAATGGAAGAGGTGTTGACAAAACGGTTTTCAATGAAAATAAATAAAAATAAGACATAAATACTGGTGTACAAGGGAGGGAAAAGTAGAGAAAGAGCGAATATAAAGATAGGAGACGAAATAAAAAGGACTCTATAGGCGAGATAGGTTGGTAGGACACCTTCTCAGGCATGAAGGTCTAGTCAGAGACATATTAGAGGCAGAAACAGGAGTTAGGAGTGGTAAACCTAGATTCGATTACCGTTTGCAAACAGTTAAGGATCTGGGTTGTTCTAGTTTTTAAGGAAATGGAAAGATTGTCTCAGGATATGAAAGAGTGAAGGTGTGTGTCCGATCAGTCTTAGGACTGACGACCTTATAATGATGATGAATTCATCTTTAATTGTTATCCACCGTAAATTACCCCAAGAATTTTCACATTAATATTTAAGTACAAATCTTCGGATCAAGATAGATAAAATTGTGTACAACCAAAAAGTGGATAATCTAATCTGAACAGATAATCGTTCGTTTCCTTAATGCATTCAGTATACTAAGTTCGTAATCAGTTAATTAATAATCTTCGCAGAAATTACAGGACAGTGATGATGGCATTATTAGGTTACCCTGCCGGGTACGCGCATCCCGTAAATTCCGTTTCACTCTTACGTAACTGTTGTCACTAGTAAATAATTAATAATCATAATCAACAACCCCTGACGTGCGGCATTCTCTTCCGTCTGCCACGTTTTGCCAATAAATTGTCAGAAATCTTCACGAGCTCCAAGTTTATCTTAAAGTGTATTTGCAAATTACAGTTCGATCACATTTTTAAATAAACTACATACGTACATGTATATACACAACTTTTTTTAAATAATTTTGCTTTTTATCTAGTTAAATTAACTTAAAATTTCGATGATGAAAGGGGGAGAGGGTAGTAAAAACAATTAGAGGAAAGGGGAGTAGTATTAGATTAAAAGAAAAATTGATTAGAAATGTGTTTTTAGACGTAGAACAGTAAAAGTTCAAAACCCAACTACAAAGTAGGTGCTATTCAGTAACTAAGTTACCTTCTTCAAGGGAGTGCTTTTCGGTAAAATACTTGTCTTCTTCAAATCAAAAATTTAAAGGTGGGACAACATATTTGGTGGTCTACAAACACCTCTATATGACTAGAAAACTTTGGTAGTCTTGTAGAACACTGAAAGCTCAAATCAAGACAATGAAGATCCTAAGTACTTTTTGGTAACAACAAATTTAATTTCTTCGGTCTCTGAATGGGGTAATTTTGTTACCGAAAGGTCCCTGAAGAAGGCAGCTTTGTTACAGCAATTTCAAGGGAAAACCTTTTACAATTGCGTGTGACAAACGGATCTCATAATGATCCTTTTGATCCTATTTTATCAAATGTAATTAAAAACTAAGGTAGACAGTGATTTTTGGATATCTATAAGCCATTAGATTTCTGTATTGCGTTTACTAACCCTGTCCAAAGGACGAACTCGACGTTATCGGCCTGCCGTTGGCCCATTATCCTCGCAGCTGACTCGACAAGTTCCCACGGGGAATCACAGCCGTAGTCGCCGTACCTCCCCGTAGGCTTTCGATAATTTCGGGGGCCGCCTTCCGTGTCCGCACGCCAGCATCCTGCCAAAGAAGAATAGACCGGGTTATTTATAGGCAAACGGCTTCTTAGCTCCTGTCTGGAGAGGCATTGTTGTCCTGCAGGACACACGACCGTCGCGCTGGACAAATGCCCCTCCTTATAATATATATATCTACCTAATACATGGACTCCGTTCCGCAGAAAACAATCATCCCTTTAGAATAAAACAAGCGACAGTCTATATATTATAGGATTAATTAATATACAGGATGTTTCGTCGCCTGTTTCAGATAATTACATGTGTAAGGGTCTAAACAAGATTTTACCCCTAAATATATATACGTGTAGGGTTAACTTACCTTTCCTAGTATCTCCATTTATACTAAAGAAGGGATCGTAATGAAAATCGGTTATGTGCCAGAAGTATCCTGAAAAACAAAAAAAAAATTCGCAGTTAACTAGCTAATTATTATTGACGAAATAAATCAATGGTGGTATTTTTTTAACAAGAATTCCCCCTATTGCTTATTCAGATCCCTCGGGATGGTGTCGCTTAAAAGAAATAACACAAGAACCAGATGATCTGGTAGGCAGGAAAGGAACAGGGGTGGAAAAAAGACATTAACCCTGGCCATTCTGTTACATGGTCAATTAAGTTTGGAATGTAATTTCGTTTTTTTATTGGACGGTTTGTTTCGCCTTGTGTGTATCAGTGTTGCGTAAGGGCGAGTACCACCCCTACGACGCCGATAATAAATATAAGAAGAAGCACCTATTGTCCGAAATTAATTGTCCAACCACCTACGCGTAAAATTTATTGTGTTGACGAATCCTTATTAGGAACATTGATTCTTACAACAATAAGGGACACAATTAATTACTGGGATTTTTATTATTATGTTGTGATGGAAGAGAGACATGTTAGAGGCAGAAACAGGAGTTAGGAGGGGTAGAGGTAGACCTAGATTAGATTACTGTTCGAAAATAGTTAAGGATGTGGTTTGTTCTAGTTTTAGGGTAATGCGAAGTTTAGCTCAGGATAGGAGAGAGTGGTGGAGGTACGTGTCCAACCAGTCTTAGGACTGACGACCTTATGATGATGATGTTATGATGGAATATTGGTCTTTAATGGCTTTGGGATTTCCCATATAAAAAGAAGTAAATAAGGGCATTTAGGTCCTTAGTTTTAAAACAATTGTATGTAAAACTGAAATAAATAATAAATCCTTTGCCATCTTTTGAATTTTAATTACACGCCACAATTAAGTGTCTATTGAAGCCTTCCTGCGTTCGTCACGTAGTTCGATGGTTGTTATCATATTTTTTATCCTCTTGAAGGATCCTTTACATTTCTGCCTTAATGTATTGTAGCGTTAGTTTCATACCCTTTCAAATTTTTATTTTTATACTCTTCCGTTGGTACAGAAGCGCTAAGCATCGCTTTCTTCTTATTATTTTTAATGAGACCGGAAAGGACATAAAAGGAAAACAAAAACAGCTTGATAATAATCATTATTATTATTATTATTCTTATCATTCGTACATCGGAAATAATTATCAATACGCCGGTACTCACTCTGTGGAAAATTCACGGCACAGTGCGCTTTAATAATTACGATTTGGACACTTTGGTTTCCATCGGAGATGCCTTGTATCAATTCGATTTAAATAAATATCAAATAGAATGAAATTTCCGAGGTGCGACATCGCTATCTGTCCGTTTCGTTTTTGTTTCGGCTCCGAGAAAGACAAAAGTCCATTTGGAAGTTGGATACTCCAGTTACACGAGTTTTCTTTTGCATCAGTGTGAGTAATCGATGTTTGGGCTCCTTTCTCGTGGAAGTTTGGCAAACTAATAAGCCAACGAAACTATGAGTTTAACATTCCTGATGGCCGACGATTGTTCATCACCCCCCTCCCTTTGTCCCTCTGCCCACTTCTTCCTGCGGTCCTGTGCTGCTTTATCCGATATCTGTTAAACAAACTTCCGGGGTCAAGTTTTGTCCGCTGCTAATTAATGTCTTTACGTAGTTAATATCGCGTTAAATACAAATCGGAATATTCAGGGTTGGGGGACCATTTGTAACATGTTCTTGCTTTTGTTTTGTCCATAGTAAATACCCAGTACAGATAAACCCTATCTCAACCGTGCTATCTTGTACGTAGTATCAGTCAGATTTATCTTCTAAATGCTGGTTTTAAATTGTTCTCAAAATCCTAACTGTATATCTATTCTAAAAAATTCCTTGAAGTCTTTGGAATCGCTTTACGTTAAACGACTTAAAAGTAGCTATGATCAAAAATTTCGTTTATTTCTCAGAAAGAAGATTCCCATGTGTTTTGGTCAAATACTTCACACGTCCAATCTTCTTACATCACACCCTATATTTTATGCCCATATTTCCCTTTATCATTCCTGGTTATCCCATCATATTTAACATTCAAATTCTAGTATTACTTCTGCATCTTCTACCCCCACATTCCATTTTACCCTGGCTCCTCCTTTTAATTCAGTAACTATCGGGTTGTTCGGAAAGTCATTTCGTTTTTTTCCCGACAGAGGATTTATTTGTATTCTTTTGCACCCAACTTCACATTTAAGCCGTATAATTTTTATATGCTTTGAGAGCTCATATAGCAAGGCTTGTGTTGGTGCCCTTTTAAATATGGAGAGCGATAAGCAGCATTTTCGACATATCTTACTGTTTTACTACAGAAAGGGTAAAAATGCTGTTCAAGCCAGAAAGAAATTGACTGATGTGTATGGAGAAGGTGTGTTGACAGTACGCCAGTGCCAGAACTGGTTCGCTAAATTTGATGTCGAAGATGCACCACGTTCGGGAAGGCCGGTTGAAGCTGATAAAGACGCGATAAAGGCATTAGTTGATGTGAACCGGCGAATAAAAACACGTGAGATCGGATTGAGCTTAAATTTATCAAATTCAACAGTTTATGACCACTTGAAAGGCCTGGGATTATCCTCGAAGCTCGATGTATGGGTTCCCCATGTTCTCACAGAGAGAAATCTGTGTCGCCGCATTGACGTCTGCGATTCGCTTCTCAAACGTCACGAAAATGATCAGTTTTTGAAGCGCATCATCACTAGGGACGAAAACTGGGTTGTATACAACAACGTCAAACGCAAGAGGTCATGGAGCAAAAAAGATGAACCGGCTCAAACCATTTCCAAAGCCGATATTCACCAAAAAAGGGTGATGTTTGGTGGCATTTTAAAGGAATCGTTTTTTTTGAGCTTTTACCGGATAACACAACGATTAATTCGGAAGTCTACTGTCATCAGCTGGACAAACTGAATGATGCACTTCAACAGAAAAGGTCAGAACTAATCAACAGGAAAGGTGTAGTGTTTCACCAAGACAACCCGAGACCTCACACAAGTTTGGTCACTCGCCAAAAGCTTTTACAGCTTGAATGGGATACAATGCTACACCCACCATATTCTCCAGACCTGGCACCATCGGATTATTATTTGTTCCGGTCACTCCAAAATTTTTTAGACGGTAAAACCTTCACCTCAAATGAGGAGGTCAAAAACCTCCTCGATCAGTTTTTTGCCAGCAAAGAGCAACAATTTTATGAGCGTGGAATTATGCTACTACCAGAAAGATGGCAAAAGGTGTTGGACCAGAACGGTCAATATATAATTTAATAAACTATTTGTTTATTATACGAAAACTGTCTTTCATTTCCACAAAAACAAAACGAAATGACTTTCCGAACAACCCTATAAATGACACATCATTTAAGAAAAACTATTTTCGAAAATCTTATTTCTTAAGAAGAAAATTCCCAGAAGTCTCATGTCCTTTTGAATTTAGCTTCTAAAAATAGCAATATTCCAATAGTACACCCTATATCTTCAACTCCCTATTTTCCCATAAGTTTTCTGTCCCATATTTTCTTCCCCCGACGCTTTTCGTTCCCCTTCCACTGGCTATTAGTTATTGATATTCGTTTTGAAAATAGCTCTCAACAAACGTGTCCTGTCTTGTTTACAACCGCTTATATAATTTTACCTTTGCGAGTTCTATTGAATAGTCCGATGGTATCGTCTTAACAGGGATATAAATCTCGAAGGATAGCGGCCAGTAGTGCTGGACGAGAAAAGGGGTTACTTACGGGAACGGGGAAATTTATATCGCGTTCTCTAGCTTTCATCAATATGCATGAGATACAACACGATATATATATATACACGTACATATCTCACCCCTGTGATGTAACGTTTGAAAATTTTCGACTGTATTCGGACGAACGGCTTTCCACCGTTACCACCTATCCCAGTCAACATTATTCCCGGATTTACTCCAGACAATGAACAAAGTGTTACTGTTTATTTACTACATGCACAATAATCATGTACAATCGTGTATACGGCGACTATTTTATCCCAAAACTTTCCCTTAATTCGCACTAATCATGTAGATTAATAAATTAAAACAAACGACGAAAGTCTTTTATGGTCCGCAATTGTATGAACAAAAGACTTCCCGAAAAGTTTGCAATTTCTTGATTACCTTTTAAGACAATAAACGGTAGGTTTATTTCGTTTTTTTTTTTTTGGAAACAGTAGCTAAAACAAAACGAAATCTATGTGTGTGTGTGTATGTCCGCCTGTCTTATAGTTTGAGTTTAGTTTAAATCCCTGGCGTCTAAAACTTTTTATAACTCGGCAAGGAAAGAACATGACTTTGTTTTTCGCACCGAGAGAAGTTTTACGATTAGCAGTTTTCATTTGTCCCGTGAGGTCGTCAAGGTTCAATTCTTACCCCCCGGCCGCCACCCCGTAAAATAAATAAATAATTGTTTAACAGTCCTAAACAAACACACCACAACATCTTTACCCCGTTTTAGAATATACACTTCATACGCTCATAAAGATCCACATTCACTAATTATCAAAAAATTTTGATGAAAATTTTGGTGGAGGCGCCGGGACAATTTTAAAGAAATGCTATAATTACGCCCCAATTCGGGTTTTATTGCAGTAGATTGATGACTTTTCATCTTTAAATGATATTTATTCCAAGTAGATGCTGTTAAGGGATGCTAATATACATTTATTTTACATTAATACCACAATTTGTAATATAATAGATAGGCAACCCAACTTACAGCAACACCAATCTAACCGCAAAAAAAAAATAGAAAACGTTTTTTTCTTACGAAAATCCTAAACAAAACACGATATTTTTTTTATTCAGATCAAAATATTTTGTTTTAGTTGAACAATTGACGTGTTCGCGTTTTTCCGTTTCTTTTCATTTTACTAAATGATATTATCTATTCAAAAATGTTCGCGCTTGCATGTTATCGCGGTAAACTGTGAACTTATTGTTTCAATCAAGGTCAAGGGGTTGTATTTCGTGTCTCAAAAAGGGGGTGCGTGCTGTTACACGTACAGTACAATCGAAACAGGTAGGTCCGGCCCAATTAATAGAGCAGATACATCCACCATCATTAGAAATACGAGAATCGTGATTAAAACCAATATAACGCAGTGGGGGAAGATTTCAATCGGAACTATTAATTAGGGGAAGACGTAGTAAATAACCATCGCGAGCAAATGGTTAAACTACTAAGTTAAATATATTATATGAATTTATTGTTATTGGAACCTCAAACCATAGCAGGGGATGTATTTTATACAGTAACCAAATTGTCCTTTATATTTAGGAAAGGGATGACGTTCGGACTTTGATTAGGGTTAGCATTTTATTGCACGGCGTGTTAATTCGTTACCTGAGGCAAACATAAACAACACATTCGGTTATTAAACTGTTGTGTTATTTGATCTGTACTCCGTTAATTGACCCCATAAACGGAGCCTGAAATTTCCCTTTAAAATTAACGGACAATTTATCGCGAAAAGAAAATTAAAAAGTTCAAAGAAAACGTCATTTTTACGTCGAAGAAATATAGCGGACGCCTATCCCCTTTAATTCTGTTCGGGAACAATAATAATATTAAGTGTAGGTTGTTTATAAAGGTGGTGGGATAATTGAGTAAGGTCACGCACATAACCGTTTGCTACTAATGACAGAACGGACGGAGAGAATGTGAAAAAAGGAAAATATTTTTTATAAAATATATGTTAGGTACAATCTAATCGCACAGCATAGTTTTTATATGTACGATATTATACTTTTTCCTTTTTTCTTTTTTAACCCTGAACAATAGCCAGTATTGTATCAGAAAATTATCAACGCATTTAAGAGACTAAAAAAAATATATCCAGTTCATACAAATAATCTCTTGAACTAGATGGACTCTTCCATCTTCCCCGTTAGATATTTGTTTTCGTATTATACTTTAATTATGAGTGCTGTTAGCATAGGGCAATGTAATATTACGTTGTTAGTATCAGCAATTTCTTATGCTGAAGTGTACGATATGTTGCATACCTATTTACAAACAATTCCTTTAAATCAATTTTTGAAACAATTCTTAACACAAATTAAACAAATTGTTCACAAAAATGAATTTCCACCACTCGAAACAATGGTGCTCACAGTTTCGAGCTCACAGTGACCAATAGGGGGGAAGAACTAGTACAATTTAATAGAAATAAGAATAGATTTAGTAGATAATTAGCTAAAACGTTATCATCTGTTGCTTTAAATTGTAATATTAGTAGAAAACAAACTTTTGTATTTGAAATATTGATATTCTGCGAGGTAATTAATAAATACTTCTTGGGGAGTCTTGGGGCTTTTTTCCGAGAGGATTTTTTCCGGGGCTTTTTTCATAGATTAATTCAAACTGGAAACTTATTCTTATCAAAATAAGGCAAACCTTACAGCGTAGATTAGATGCTGTTGTCTGTTTTAGTCGAAGAATTTTTCGAATCGGTTCTGCATGCCATAGAGATTACCGTATCGCATGCCTTCAGGTGTTTCTCCCCAAAAGTATAATATTGGTTTTTCTTCACTCGGGAAAAGCGAAAAGTAATTAATTGTGTTTGGACTCCGGGCCGACAGTTTCCTCTGTATTCCGATCATTGACGTCACGCCGGTTTTCGCAAAGTTTCAGTCGGCTCTCTGTTTGCCCAAACAATTAATCACGCTAATGGAGGTCTTCAAAGCCGAAACGTCGACGACGACAACGGCGCGTTTGTCGTCGTTCGCCGGCGGTCCTGCTGTATCTTTCTTTCAAGCCCGATGCGACCTCCCGTCATTGGCCGCCTGTCGAAACCACAGGGCCTAAAATTACTCCCGCAGTCAAAAAGACTCTCCCCATATGGTCTTCCGCATCTCCCCAAACCGCAGAAGTTACTTCCAATAATTGCAATTAAAAATACGTAATCGCACTTAATTGTAGTCCAAAGCAATTGAGAAATAATGGTCCTAAGCCAGGGCATGCATTCCAGAGGAAGTAGTAGGTAAATGACTTTTGAAAGTCAGATAAGTTACGATTGAAAATGCAATAGAGACAATAAAACGGAAAGAATAGCGAGAGGTCGATTCAAGATTACAAAACACCTTCTGATAGGTTTCAGAGACATATTGCAATTAGAAATAAGGGTGAAAGAAATCTAAAAATGTGTTCAGACCTATAATTCTCTGATAATATTGACGAAGATATCAATTAAATCTTATCAAAGTATGTATGGCGAATCTTAAGTCCTTATGGTTTAAAAAAAAACAAAAAAAATCCTTCCTGGGACTGCGTATCTCATAAGATTTTCTGTCAGTTGTGTACGATTTTGTTATTTAGAATGTCGATTATTTTTTGTTTTGTACACTGTGGATTTTTCGCCGTTTGTTCGTTCGTTCGTTCTTTCGTTTGTTTTTTTTTTGTGGTGAAAGCGTTTTCTTAATGGCGTGGTGCTTTATGGCTTTGATATATTATGTCAATAAAACGGTCTCGCGGGGTTGAGTCCAGAATAATGTATCAACATTAACTTTGGACTGACAGACACATACGATTTCACGCCGATTGATTTTAGCGGCAGATTGTATTAGAGAAATGACGCCGGGGCGACTGGTGACCAAAGGGTCCATTTGTCCGCGTCCGGGAAAAATTGGGACAAGAATAAACGCCACCGGATAATTGTAAGAAAACATTTTCCATTCCTTTTTGATTCATTCTTCAGTTCAATCGGTCGAATTCGAGATCTATTGAATCGGAAGTGGAAAAAAGCGAAAAACATTTTTTCTTTTCTTCTTAAAAATATCGCCACGGGCACTAATGGACGTTTTTGTCGTAAATTCACTAGCAACCACTCCAAAGTTTTAAGAAAAGGGAAGGTCCACGGCCCACAAGGTGTTTTTGATTCCAATTCTTATAAAAAATTACCTACAGGTGTATTTTAATTGAGAATTATCATTTTGAATTAAAACTAGTATTAGATATTGTATCATATTTGGTTTTTATACCTGGTGGAGGCGCCGGGACAATTTAAAACAAATGCTATAATTACGCTCCAATTTACATTTTATTGCAGTAGGTTGATGACTTTTCATCTTTAAACTATATTTATGTCAAGTAGATGCTGTTAGGGGATGCTAATTTACATTTATTTTACATTAATACCACAATTTGTAATATAATAGATAGGCAACCCAACTTACAGCAACACCAATCTAGCTGCAAAAAAAAAATAGAAAACGTTTTTTCTTACGAAAATCCTAAACAAAACACGATATTTTTTTTATTCAGATCAAAATATTTTGTTTTAGTTGAACAATTGACGTGTTCGCGTTTTTCCGTTTCTTTTCATTTTACTAAATGATATTATCTATTCAAAAATGTTCNTATCCAAATCGAAACCGTTTTCAAGTAGCATAGAACATGTCCAAAGGAAAATCTGACAAACGATTTTTTTTGTTTTTTTTTATCAAGTTAAACTTGTCGGACTTTTTAATACTGTTTTCGCGGCGGCGCTTTTCGCAGAAACAGGAACGTGTTCATCTTCCCGAATTTCATTTTACACTGGAATGCTGCAGGGACACCGAGTAAACTAAATTCAAAACCCGATCTTGCGCCCTAACTCCTTCCCTTTACCGAAACAATAGAACTCCCCTGATGTAACAAATAACAAAAGTTTTTTGTTTTCTTTTTTCGTCATTGTTATTAAACAAATGAATAAAATTATAGTAAGTCAAAGTCTCCCTGTAGTTTATTCACAATTAATTATGTGCATGAATAAAATACGTAAGGAATATTCGATACAAAGCCAACAAAGTATGATAAACAAAATATAATTGTTATTTATGACCAAAATAAACTTTTAAAGCCAAACAAGCACTTTTGTATCTATTATTCAATAATTACTGCCCGCAGATATATGTTTTTCATTGTCTTATAGACAATAATTAACTTTGCTTTCTAAAAATAATTGTTTTATTTGTTTCATACTGACATTTAGTTGCTAAATACGAGAATTTACTTGATTTGTATTGTAAACTATCGTATTAATACGGAAAATAAAAAGTTCATAAAGATATACAAATACGTTCGGCAATTATTAAAAAATTTTGCTGAAAATTTTGGTGGAGGCAAATGCTATAATTGCGCTGTAATTCAGGTTTTATTGAAGTAGATTGATGACTTTTCATCTTTAAATGATATTTGTTCCAAATAGGTGCTGTTAAGGGATGCTAATTTATATTTATTTTACGTTTATACCACAATTTGTAATATAATACATAGGCAACCCAACTTACAGTAACACCGATCTAACTGCAAAAAAAAATAAAAAACATTTTTTCCCACGAGCATTCCTAAACAAAAACACCACAATATTTTTACCCCGTTTTAGAATACACACTTATTATTATCATCAAAATATTTTGTTTTAGTTGAACTATTGCTCGTAAAATAACGTGATCGCATTCTTCCGGTTCTTTTTTTTTATTTTACTAAATGATATTATACGAATAATCACTTGATTAGTATTGTAAACTATCGTATTAATACGGAAAATAAAAAGTTCATAAAGATATACAAATACGTTCGGCAATTATTAAAAAATTTTGCTGAAAATTTTGGTGGAGGCAAATGCTATAATTGCGCTGTAATTCAGGTTTTATTGAAGTAGATTGATGACTTTTCATCTTTAAATGATATTTATTCCAAGTAGATGCTGTTAAGGGATGCTAATATACATTTATTTTACATTAATACCACAATTTGTAATATAACACATAGGCAACCCAACTTACAGCAACACCAATAGTATTGCAAAAAAAAATGAAAAACGTTTTTTATTCACGAATGTAAGATTTTTACGTGATACTAAATACTGTTTTCGATTGAACCACAAAATTTTAGGTAGAAATAATTAATCAATTAGTAATACTCTTAATATTTGTTACAAATTTTTTGTTTGAGATTCAATATTAAAGCTAATTACTAACTTTGAATTGTTTTTAACAAAAGTTATGATTTTTTATCAAGTAATTCTTTTATTTCTTCAATGTATTTTATTCTTATCTCAGAAAAAAAAAGAAATTACAGATCTATTTGGAATATCCCACATTTCGATCTTTGTTTTTTGAAGAAACACTAATTTGTTAAATCGAAGTATAAAAATTGAAAAACTTACAAATCATCCAATATTCAAATACTGAATGCACCATATTATTATTACTGATAGAATTTTATCATCTTCAAGCTAGATAACCGCAATCCGTATCGCTTATTTACATGTTTATGGACAAACATTTGCATGTACAGTTATTTACTAAATGTTAATCAATTATGGAAACCATAGTCAAAATTATAGTGGTATCACCAATATTTATTGGTAGGTAAGGTAGTAAAAAATAATATTTACTTACTTATAACGATTTAGCATAATACAGGAACACAATTTTGCGCTGATACTTACACAATAATCGTTAACCATATTGTTCTAATAACGAAATTGTTTTATTGGTCAAGGTCCACTAAATGCAAACAAACGAATTGTTTATCTCTTCGCTTTTGTTTCTGTGTTTTATGTTTTTGTTTCTGATAGCGACTTGTTGTTCATTGTCCATCGAAACAAACGAAAATGTGCTGATCACTCTATATACCAAAAATTCAAATCCAAAACAAATGAATGACAAAAACATATACACGGTGGATACTTCAAAACACACAATTTTTATAATACCAGGATGGAGGAGTTACACTAACGAAACCTGGCTGATGAACCTCACCCGAAATTACTTTGAAAAGGGCGATTTTAACGTTTTTATAGTCGATTGGACCAATTACAGTTTCAGCTATAATTATCTTAAATCGTACAACAAGGTAAAGGTCCTTTTCAATCTGAACCTTAATAAAGTTTAATTCGCTTTGCTTTTTAATTCCAATACAATTTTTTTAATTTTAAATTGATAATTGGTGTAATTCAGGTGGGAGATGTAGGTAAAGTGGTTGCAAATAGTATACTGATGATGACAGGGTCTTCCGAAACGTTTCTTAACAACGTGCATTTGATAGGGCACTCGTTAGGGGCTCATGTGTGCGGTTTTGTGGGGCAAGAGGTATACAAGGTGGCTTTTTATAAGCTGGCACGTATCACTGGCTTGGACCCGGCCAAACCGGGCTATGAAACCCCAATGAAAATTGGATTTAGATACAGATTAACAGAGTATAGCGCCCAATTCGTTGATGTAATTCACACAAACGGGGGTGTGTTAGGCTTTGCTGGGTCCATGGGCACTGCTGATTTTTATCCTAACGGGGGTGGACCCACACAACCGGGATGCGCTGTTATGGGTAAGGAAATGTTACATAGTTATCTAAATAATCTCATTATTTTTGGGTAAATTTAGACGAAGTATGCAGTCATCGGATGGCCTACTATTTTTTCATGGAATCAATATTATCGAACAATTTTGTAGCGAAAAAATGCGCGTCATGGGATCTATTTAGTCAAGGAAAATGTAACAAAAGTCAGAAGGCTGTAATGGGTGAAAGTGTGTCTTTAACAACTAGGGGAAAATTCTTTTTGAAGACCAACCCACAACCACCCTTTGCAATAATAATTTAATATCTACATATAATAAAAAGTGTATAGGGTTGGATAAAAATTAAAACTGTTATCAGTACCACTAAGAGTAAATAATATCGCAACTTATAGTTTCCATTTCTTACGCTGATGTAAATAAATCAATATATACGGGGTTGTAATTTTTTTATTTAATATAAAGTCTAACGGACGTTTCGGCTTCTGTTACAAAATTTTATCAATAATTGAACTATCCCTACCCTTTTCAGTATATAATTATGTCCAAATGAATTTGTTTAAACGAACAAAAAATATTACATTTTCAATTTTTTTTTTGCATAAACTTGCTAGAAATCACCTCATACTTGACGTACGTAGAATTTCGTTGTTCGACAAAAACTACCATGTTACGATAAGAACATGATATTATTCATTTGAAAGTCAATTTTCCGCTGTCTTCGACAAGTCAGTGTAAAAAATTTTCTTTCGTTTGCACAAAATAAAATGGAATTGTTATTGAAAATATCAATAATAGCAGTGCCGCTGTTTTCAATCGGTATGTCAACTACTTGTACACCATTTCATTTAACAACAAAAAAATATATATTTTATCTGAAAGTGTTTCAGTACGCGGTTATTCTTTAAGTAACACCAGCAACGTACACTTTTTCCTGTACACCAAAACGAACGAAGACAGAATTTTATTAACCGACTCCAACATGAATTTGTTTGATCCAACAAAATGCACCAAAGTCATTATTCACGGGTTCAATGTCAATTCGAGTTCGCCCTGGATAATCAATATGGCAAGAAGGTTTGCCCAAAAAGGTAACGTCAACATTACCATCAAAAGTTTAATCAACAAACAACATTTGTTGTTAATAATTATTTTTACTCAAGATTTTAGCCAGACTGTGTAATCAGGTTGAAATATTTATCTTTAAATTATAATTTTTTCCATGTAGATGCAGTAAGGGATGCTAATTTATACTTTCTTATATAAAAAGTAATTAAAATACAAGTCCTCGGTAAAGGTCTAGATGATGGGTGGGATCGAAAGAGGAGGTCTCCCCTACCACTGTACCATAAAAAGTTCGTGGCGGTCTCACCCCCGTAAAAAGTTATGGGTTTTAGCTTTGAATAGTGTTTAATAATGACTATATAAATATTTACATGTATAAAAAATTGGCGACTTTGAACCCCCATAACCTTTTATGGGGGGTGAGACCGCCACGAACTTTTTATGGTACAGTGGTGGGGGAGACCTCCTCTTTCGATCCCCCCACCTCCACCCCCGAAGGTGTTGGGGGCCATCATCTAGACCTTTACCAAAAGTTCTTCCATGCCCCAAAATGACCAAAAATCCCAAATTTTCCAAAACAAGCCCAGACGTAACCCATAGCTACAGTCCTAGTTTTACTGCTTTCTGTATCTTCCTTGTTTTTTAACGTATATTTTCGTACTTCTAGACAATTGCAACTCAATTGCAGTCGATTGGGGTAGATATAGCGAAACCCTTTACATAAAAGCTGCTTTCAATTCAAAATTGGTTGCCCAAATAACTGCAGAAGGGCTGCTAACGCTATTATCCCAAAACAAAACGAACAATAATATTACGGCTGATGTAAAAAATGTGCATATAATTGGGCATTCGGTGGGGGCCCATCTGGCAGGCCTGACAGGTCATAAAATGGCAACGAAATTGTCGGGCACCAAAGTGAAACGCATAAGTGGTAACAAAAAAAATAATAATAACAGATTATATGTAGATTAGGGTGCTTCAAACAAAATATTTATTTTTTTTTCTAACTCACCCCCTCAAATGTTTCTATTTGATGTAAAAAAAATCCTCGTCAANTGGAAATCATCACCTACACTACATCATTCATCGCTCCTGAGAATAGATGTATAAATAACGTCAATAAATTTTTTACTTCAATAAGAATTTGAAATTTGAAATTAGGTAATAATTGTAAAATTGTAAGTCCAGTCCTATTGTTTCTTAAAGATATAATCAATTACACATAAAAGGTTAGTTAGTAAGTATGAATAATTTAAACACTCACCGTTGTGGCAGCAATCAGTCAACATCGTCTCAGCACAGGAATTCCAACAAATCTGCATCTCCATACAGTGAAGGACGCAGAAAAATAGCTGCAACAAAATTAAATATTTAATATAAATTTTCCAAACATACTGTTTTTAATTGTTTTTTTGATCAATTTTTGTTTTCGGATGGGTGCGAGACATTTAGAACAATTAGCTTAACTTCCCATGCGTCAAAAACCTTAACTGTACAGAGGAGGATGGAAAAAAGGGCGGAAGAACTATTAGGGGAAGATCAAATTGGGTTTAGAAAAAATAGAGGAACGCGGGAGGCCATTCTAGCTTTACGGGTAGCAATAGAGAAAACGATAGAAAAAGGAAAGAGTGCGTACCTAGGATTTGTAGATTTAGAGAAAGCTTTTGACAATGTTAAATGGGACAAGATACTTAAAAATGTAGGGATGAATTACAAAGATAGAAGAGTGATACTTAGTTTGTATAAAGAGCAACAGGCAGTTATAGAGCTGGGGATGCAACATAGAGAAGTAAATATTAGGAAAGGAGTCAGGCAGGGATGCACACTGTTACCGCTACTTTTTAATCTGTACACGAAGACGCCATCAACATCATTAAAGACAGTACAACTGTAGGGATAGATGTGCAAGGGCAAAAGATTAGTATGCTTAGATTTGCAGATGATATAGCAGTATTAGCATCTAGCAAGGAGGACCTAGAGATAGCTTTAAATAAAATGGAAGCGGTACTGACAGATCAGTACTGTATGAAAATAAATAAAAGTAAAACTAAAATACTGATATGCAAGGGAAGAAAAAGTAGGGAAAGAGCGAATATAAAGATAGGAGACGAAAAATTAGAAGAAGTGGCTGATTTTAGATACCTAGGAAGTCAGATAAGTGAGGATGGAAGGAGTAGTAGGGATATAAAGCAGAGGATAGCGCAGGGTCGTGTCGCCTTTAATAAAAAGAAGTCACTTCTATGCTCGCGAACGGTTAATTTAGAAATTCGAAAAAGGTTGTTAAAGGTGTATGTTTGGAGCACGGCGTTGTACGGGTGCGAAACATGGACAGTGGGAGCGGCGGAAAAGAAAAGGTTAGAAGCGTTCGAAATGTGGTGTTATAGGCGGATGATGAGGATATCGTGGGTAGAAAAGGTTAGAAATGAAGAGGTATTGGAAAGAATAGGAGAACAGAGGACTCTATGGAAGTCAATAAAAAATAGGCGAGATAGGTTGGTAGGACACCTTCTCAGGCATGAAGGTTTAGTCAAAGACATATTAGAGGCAGAAAAAGGAGTTAGCAGGGGTGGAGGTAGATCTAGATTAGATTACTGTTCGCAAATAGTTAAGGATGTGGGCTGTTCTAGTTTTAGGGAAATGCGAAGTTTACCTCAGGATAGGAAAGAGTGGAGGTACGTGTCCAACCAGTCTTAGGACTGATGACCTTATGATGATGATGAATTAACCGGAGAAACTAAAATAAAAATAGCAACCCCTTAGATTTGAGCTATAGGGCTCATGTTTGGCGAGGATTTTTTTTTTAATCAAATAGAAACATTTGAGGGAGTAAGAGTTAGAAAAAAATATTAAAAATTTTGTTTGAAGCACCCTATTGTAGATACTTATAGGTAGATGTAAAAAACATTTTTGTTTGGTGTCGTAATTGTTGAAGGTTTGGATCCAGCCGGTCCTTATTTCGACGCAATTTTTACCACCAGATCGCGACGCATTCAAAAACATGACGCCGATTTTGTCGATATAATACACACGGATGCATTTTACGGCTACAATTCGGACCTCGGACACGTTGACTTCTACCCCAACGGTGGTCGCCTTCAACCCCAATGTGGTACGTTCTAAACACAGTGCGACTCGGTTATAACAACATCGGTTATAACGACAACTCTGTTGCAATGTCAGATTTTGTTGGGTCGAAATTTTATTATTTGATTAGTTACGTTTTGTACTGTTGTTGTTCGAGATTTATTTTAGAAAAGGGTGATAAGAATTTGTGCAGTCACTCGATGTCCCACGAATATTTCTACAAGTCCATAGAAGCTCCCGATTACTTCGTCGGGACGCAGTGTATGCAATGGGACCTATATTTGATGGGCAGTTGTAAAAACAAACGTAAAGCACCCATGGGAATTGCCACGCCACCGGACACAAGGAAACGGTTTTATTTAAGAACCAAATACAAAGAAACTTAATTATTATATTACGACATCAGAAAATGTATTTTTCTCTAAGTCTAACACGTTAATAACAGTTGACCATTTGGTTTTTGTTTGTTTTTTTTTTTTTTAATTAGTTCTACTTTTTTCTTTAACCGCATTCATCATGGTGAATACTGAAAAAGAAGTCTTCAGGAACTGAAAAAAGGATTAATTATTTATTAATTAAGTTAATCTGCCACCCCCACTGTTCTTCCTCCCTCTTTCCGGTTAAAATCTAGTCATGAAACACCTACCGCTAAGAACGTTGTTAAATCCATTCGGTACACCCCCGCAGCCCTAAGAGGTTTCATTTCTTGAGCCCGCATCATTAAGGTGAACACATTTTTTGAATTCTTGGCGTTACCATGAAGCTCCCAGCCACTCCCGTAAACACCCAGCGCCAATTCTGTGGTCTAAATATAATAAAGAACACATTCTAGAATTTGTTACAACTACTACATAAATCGCAAATAGAACCCTCGAAAAGTGGAATAATAATTAATTATTTGTTTATAATAATCGATGAGTTTTTGCTCGATGGGCCCACCTGCTCTTCCAAGAACTGGGCAGCAAAAAAATAAATGCCGATTTCTATTAGAATGTTATTTATGTAAACAAGACTGTTCACAAATCTGCCCATATCCATTAAAAATCTACAAGAACGAACGACGTATTTCTTAAAAGTATCCATTGCGGATTGAAAAATGGACTTACGAATCCGATAGGACGTACATCTCAAAACACAGTATCAACAAACTGGTTGACAACTGCGAAAATAACAGCAAGGAGTAGATACGATTCAACTTTGAAAATATTCTAAAAAGATAAAAATGTTTAGAATGGACTTAAGGGAACTTGTGATAGATAATTGAAAACTGTTCCCAAATATTAATGTAATTCATCATCATAAATAATAAGGTCGTCAGTCCTAAGACTGATTGGACACGCACCTCCACTCTTTCCTATCCTGAGATAAAACTAGAACAACCCACATCCTTAACTATTTGCAAACAGTAATCTAATCTAGGTCTACCTCTACCCCTTTCAACTCCTATCTCTGCTTCTAATAAACCTCTTAATAGACCTTCATGCCTGACAAGGTGTCCTACCAATCTATCTCGCCTATTTTTTATTATCTAGAGTCCTCTGTTCTCCTATTCTTTCTACTATCTCTTCATTTCTAACCTTCTCTATCGACGGTATCCTCATAATTCGCCTGTAACACCACATTTCGAACGCTTCCCGCCGCACCCACCGTCCATGTTTCGCACCCGTACAGCGCCATACTCCAAACATACATCTTTAACAATCTTTTTCGAATTTCTAAATTAACTATTCGCGAGCATTAGTGACTTGTTTTTATTGAATTTTTCGTCTCCTACCTTAATATTTATTCTTTCCCTACTCTATCTTCCCTTGCATACCGGAATTTTTGTTTTATTTTTATTCCTTTGTATTTAAGACTATCTCTAACTTATCCTTAGTAGATCCTATTGTTGCTAGGGTTAATGTAATTAGAAATAGAAAAATAACTGAAGGATCTAGAAATTTTGCGTACATTGGAAGAGCGTGCGGCATGATTGGCCGCACTGCTCACGCATATGTGACTATATATAATAAAACTCGCTATATCATAACAACATTCGCAGTGTTAATTAGTTTGAAGCGATAGTCTTGACTGATAATTTCAAGGAAATTGAAAACGATCTAAAAAAGTCCTGAAATTGATCGCATAGACGTCCTTATCATTAGTATAAAAAAATTAATTACTCAGTCCCTATCAATTTCTGCGAAAAACGTCAAAAAACCATTTACATCAAGTATCTCACTTGAAAATATATAAAACATATGTATAAATAATTTATGTATCTAGGTAACTGTAACTCACTTTAACAACTCGTTATGATACTCTATGTAACAAGTCAGTGTTTTTCCGATCTTTTTTTCATCTCCATTGCAAGTTTTCTCCATCGAACAAAATCCGAAAGCGAGTAGTTTGAATTGAATGCCCAATTGCACGCAGAACACTATGAACAATGAATCAAAGGCAAAAACAGTCAAAACTACGTACGGTGCCGTCAGGTCTTCTATAATCAAAATTGTCTCGTAATAAGAACCATTGGGCATCACCCATCTGCCCACGGTTAATTGGTAATTGTTGCTCAGAAACGATTTAGTCATTGAAAATAAGATGGACGAATAAATAGTCACTCTAAAGATCTTTAACGCGTTCAGCATGCGTTTGTGGCTTTTTTCTAAAACCTTTTCAACTTCTGGTCCAAATTTGTCCATCTTCCAGAGACCCTTTATCTGGTCCATTAGCTCTTTCAAGTCGTCCCTTTTCGAAATCATCATTGCTACTTTAATAATCACCTTTAACAACAAAAATTTCGACTACGAATTAGAATTTGTGCCTCCTGGTAGGTCATTTTTTACCTGAAAATAGAGCATAGCGCCTTCGTAAATGTCCGTAAGATTTTGAACGGTTAAAACGCAGAAAAATATTTGAGACGCGCTAATCAAGAAGGAACTTGTCGCAATTATTAAGCCAAAGGTGTTGACGAGTTTCCCGATTTTCGATCGACGATTTAGGTCCAAATCGAAATGTATCATAAAAAGTTGCGAGAAGTTGAATGCTTCTTCTTGGGGGGACATTTTTGTACCTACTACCTACTACACCAAACCTACGGTTTTTTTAATGCCATCAAATTCGTTCTCCCTTTTTATCCGTAGCCCTTTATTAAAGGGTAATTTTGCAATTATAAAAGTTGCTCTACAAAGTTGCGCAATTATTTGATCCATGAAATTACACATCATCGTCTGATATTATAATATTTTATTTATTTGGGTATGTAGTAATTTACAATTTAGAATTACGTATGTTCTCGAAAAATTCCAATTATATAAAAAACGAAGATGGATTTCCCTCTATCTATCTTCAACTTTTTCTAAATAATCCGTTACTCTTGAAAAAAAACAATCCACTATCAGTGGTGAAATACCGCGGCGTGTGTTATTTTTACAAATAATTTTTTATCTTTTTTTCATTGTACAGTAGTTGGGATTCCATTTTGTTCTAATTATTATCTTTTTGTAAACTTTGACTCCAGTTTTGTTTAACGATAATAAACCAAATATTACACGCATCTAATACTATGTATCGTGTTAACTTTGTATGTCTAAGCCGACGTGACAATCTCCAATTTGTTGATAAATATTGGATCATCTATCGTCATTAACATGTTAACAATTTTTGTCATGCTTTTTTGACTCTAAAATCGATTTGATTGATCTGCATTCAATATTTGATTGATTTTATCGAAATTATTGGTACATTTGTAAAAGATTTGTGTTGCTATGCGATCGAAAATTTTTCCATTAATACCATTTTAAGTGTTGAAGATGATAAGGAAGATAAATAACAACAAAAATTTGATTTAATCAATATTCTCCTACATATTACAAAACCTACGGATAAATTCATTTAAAACCCATGAAAATTTCTGTACTATTAAATTTAATATAAATGAATTCATTTCATCATGTTTCGTTTAAAGTATTATTATAGGTAGTAAAATAATAAAAAAGTCGTATAATTAAATTATAATATCAAAATTAGTCAAGTACAGTTATATTTTAATAGTTTTGNACATTATTATGTAGTATGAGAAACTTTACAAGGAATCCACTATTTATACACATAATAAATTGTACAATACAAAGGCACACCTATTACATTAATTTTTTTTGCAAAATATTCAAATGAAGACAGTTATTCTTCTCTCGAACAAAAGAGAGATTTTTTTTCTTAATTTTCAAGAGACAATAATGATTTAGTAGTACAGGCAAAGAAAGTTGAAAAATTTGATTATAACTATCTACAAAACAAACCAATAACATTTTGCAGACATTGTTTCTAGTACTGTAGCGTAGGAATTATTTTTAAATTTTATGTAGTACTCGCTGAACATTAGAAGAACAAAAAACTAAGAAGTATACAACAATAAATTGCATTTTAAAGTTACAACGAATCCCAAAAAAAGGTTACAACTACGTATATATATCACTTTAATAAACAGTAGTCCACTGATTGGCCTTTATAATATGAAGAAAGTGACAAAGTGAGTTGTATGTGTGTCTTTTCGATCAATTATCAATAAGATCGACTTTAACAAAAAAAAATCCGCTGAAATTAATAATCTATCGAACTCGCGCGCGCCAATTTAAGTGCAACAACGTAAAGAATAAAATAAGAAACTTATTTATAATAATAACAGTATGTGAGCAATAGTAGCGAGAGCTTAAGAACTAATCAATAAAATTAATTAATCAATAAGGAAAGTCAGATGGCATTTCGTAATCCCTTACTTATGCTAACNTGCACGTGTATGTACGTCAAACTTGCCTTTCTCTGTCGTTTTTATACATGCATGAAACCACATCATTAAAACGCAACATTTATAATTATAATTGTCATTAAAAGTAGCCTTTCTTGGCATAATTTTATTATATATAAATAAGTCCGTTATTCTTGTTTCTTATTAAAATCCTAATATCTTGCCATCAAATTTAAATTTAAACAAATTGGCGCCAAAGAAACAATGTGTGATTTGAAATTTTGTTTTTTAAACAATCATGGCGCCTCTTTTCGATTGTTACATATTTGGCGCGTTTTTTTCAATTGTTACAAATTGGCGCCATTTAAGCATCGCGTTGAAAATCCCATAGGCGTAACAGTCAGCTATTAAGTAAGGAGTAAAAAAATCCAGCTATACGTTTTATTGAAATGTTTATTCAATACAAGTACCTACAGTTATGATACAAATTTGATTTGGCGCTATACTTACAGCTAAATCTCTAATAAAATCATACAAATAGAAGAAGACTTAAAGTGTAATAACTATATCTAAAATCACAAAATATGAAGTTACAAAGACTTCTGTAGGTAATTGTCAAACAAGTACAGGGCCAATGAGCTATCTTTGGTCTTCAAAAATGAATAAATATCAGAGGCGTATCCAGATAGTTTTCTGACGTTGCTAGCAAGTTTGTGGACAAACTCCTCCTCAATGTAAGAGGAAATTTCGGGATCGTGAGCTTTTTCAAGACGACGACTGACGGCATCGTGGATAGTGTGAGCTTCCAATGCCAAAGCCTTTTCCATATCTAAAGCTTTTGCTACGCTTTCGAGTTCGTACAATTCGTAGTTTTCTTGCTTTTGTTTGCGTTCGTCCGTCTTCCATCTTCTGAAATTCATTCTTCCTCCTCTCTTGGCTATATGTTTTATGATTTCGATCGATTCCGCCCATTTCTCGTCGGAAAGATCGCGGAACAACTTCTCGAATCCGGGCCTGTTCTTTTGGTAATTAGCGTAATGGGTGGACATCAGGAGATATTCGAAAGAACGCGAGATATGGGTAGTTGCGAACGCTTGTAAATCCCCCACGACTTCGTTTATCGCCCCATACTTAGCGTCACATTCGGGCAATGTGTCTGATGCTGAAACAAATGCAAAAAACAAAGTAATTCTCCATTCAAATGTTTCCCACAAAAACAACAACAGCTTAGTTACAATTGTTTTTATAGTATTCAAATGTTTTGTACTACAACAAATTAACGAGTTGCGCGTATGATACGCCCATGTACATGAGTCGATACAAATATCGTGACGTCACGTCCGCCATTACAGCTCAGCTGTTGCAATAATGTTCATTTTATTCTTTTCTCTATGTTATTAATTGTTGAATGATTGTTGGATCAGCCATAACTGTATGATGATAAGAAATACTGTTATGAGTCAAATCTGCCATTACGGGGCAAAGGACAAAATATGATTGTAATAACGAAAGAATATTGTTTAACAGCTCGTTTTGACCTTAATATTACAATTTCAAAAAATATGAAAGCTCATTCGAAACAATTTTACTTACACAGTTTGCTTGTTGTATGCGAGCAAGCTTGCACGACACTCTTATAGCAATATTCATTCTGTTGTGCTGTTACAACAGCAATAACACCAAAAATAAACAAAAATAACGGCTTCATATTTTTATTTTTATACAAAATTAGACCGAATTTTGATGACGAAATAGGAAAAAACTTTAAGAACCACCGTTATCGTTCACGTTTTCAATTGCAATAGTAATTAATTTATTGTTAAAAGGTATAAACAGATCGCTCTATAATACGTTAAACAGGCTGGTAGGCATGCTCAAAACATATTGCGCATTTATTACACAAAGAAAATGTCTGACAAGGGTATAGAGGGGGAAAAAGATTCCAATAACAGCTTGTGAGTTATATTATCTAAAAGGGGAACAATGTTGTGATTATTGTTTATCAGTTCGGCAGTTGAAAAAGCGTTAGTTGATGGTTTTATTTTGACTTATCTGCATCTGAATTCGTTGCGTATTTTAATTCGGTCATCAGAGACGATTTAAACGTTATTTTATTATACAGGAGACGAAATTAATCATAAACAAAAGTATGAAGGTCGTTGTTTTGGCAGTTGTTTTTGTTAGTGTTATATCAGTGTCGTTCACAGCCGATTTACAATGTAAGTTATTCTATTTACGCGTAAAATTAAGCAAATCGATATTCTCATTACAAACGAAAATGTTCACCAGCGTGAGATGCCCTCAAATAACCCTTAAACCTGTTTATTCTCTTATCGTTAGCAATAACCCTCTAACGCAGTAGGTGCATTGTCTTAAATCATTCATTTGTTTACTTTTAGTGTTTTAAAAAGACAAATGAACCCCAAAAACATCACCTATGTACTCAATTTGCATTAGTTCTTCGCAATTAGCGATAATTTTGCATAATTTCTGTTTTTATCGATGCTTTTTGTTTTGTACCGACAAAATGGCTACCGCAAATTACTAAAACAAAAAAGCCGCCATATTAATATCGGATTATCCTTCATGTAAAGATCGTTTTTAATTGTTAACAGGTCATAAGTAACTTATGTTACATTTAAATCCGTTTTTCGTAACTTATACTATAATAAATAGACGATATGGCAATTGTTTTTTAATTAAAACATTCATAATTATTAAGTAGCTACCTTTAGACTAATGAATATCACGCGTCACACGTAGATCGTGAGTAATTGATTTTTCTTCGTCATTTGCATAATATGTACGTATGTAATTAAAATTTTATTGCCATAAATTCGTATGTTTTAAAGGAAATTAATTTTAGTCTATAGGCAACCCATTTTACACACCAAAACTAAATTGCAATTTAATTTGAATTAAAGAATCAGGCGAATTAAATTAATCAGTAAATATTTACCAATATTGTGCAATGTTATCTATTTTTAACAATACATTACATTGCACGTGTATGTACGTCAAACTTGCCTTTCTCTGTCGTTTTTATACATGCATGAAACCACATCATTAAAACGCAACATTTATAATTATAATTGTCATTAAAAGTAGCCTTTCTTGGCATAATTTTATTATATATAAATAAGTCCGTTATTCTTGTTTCCCTATATGTACAAGGGACGTTTAAAAACAATTTTTTTTATCGCCCACAGGCACACACAAAAAAGTGGACGTCCCAGAGGAATGGCTGTCGATGGTTGATCCCTGCGTGAAAAAAATGCAGGATCAAATCCAGGAAGAAATGAGAGCCGCAATCCAGTATATGGCCATGGGTGCCCACTTTTCCAGGGACGTAATTAACAGGCCCGGCTTTGCCAAGTTCTTTTTCGACGCGGCCAGTGAGGAGAGACAGCACTCAATTAAACTCATCTCGTACTTATTAATGAGGGGCAATCTTACAGAGAACGTCAGCACCCTGCTCCAGAAAAGGGCAAGAAAAAAATAGAATAAAACCGAAAATTCGAGAAGAACGTTTTGTATTTATTATTTTTTTTTTTGAATGCAGATTGAACCAGCTACTGAAGTATGGGATAGTGGTATTAGTGCCCTCAGGGACGCCCTTAGACTAGAGGCTAAAGTTACCAACAAAATCAGGGACGTTATCAAAGTCTGTGAAGATCCTCAGCTAGCCGAAAACAACTTCAACGATTATCATGTTTGTTTTTGACATTTTGTTTGTTTTTTTTGTTTTATTTCAATATTCATTTGTTCTAGCTCGTCGATTATTTAACTGGGGAGTTCTTGGAAGAACAGTACAAAGGGCAACGTGAACTAGCTGGATACATATCTACATTAGATAAAATGGTAGGTGAGCATGGTATTCTTGGAGAATTTTTGTTTGACAAACAACTTCTTGGTTAAAACTTGTATATAATGTGGCTGTTTTTTTTTTAATGTAGTTATTAATAACTTGCAGTTAATTCTAGTGATATAATTAATTCTTTTAAAACTGTGTGATAAAATATTAAAACGTCAATTTAATTTTTCAAATGCATAGTTAGAATTAGATTTAGTAATGTAATTTTTAAAATATTGTAATGATACCATGTTGAACTTTACATACATAAATAAAATAAAATTTTGTGTACATACCTAGCTTGGTACATATTTATCTTCAAGTATATTTGATTATCTCTTAAAGACGTCTATGATTAGATAAAATGAAAAGTTGAGAGGAAGATAAATGTCTAATAAATTACATTTACTCTTTATCGCCTATTGAATTCAATTCAATTCTTTATGTTTCTCATATTTTTTGATAAATATTTTTGAGACGGTTTTTTATACTATAATTTTGAATTATAGTTAGTTTTTGTTTTATAGGTTGGTATTCTACTCAATGGAATTAACACCAGAATTCCTAGTCCATAGAGATTTAACCTCTCTTCAATTCACGTTGACGTTTGAGGTTAACTGCTGTATTAAAAGTAATAATTTGTGATAAATTTTAATTAAAATGACTGTGGAAAAGCGTAAACGTGTCTCGAAAAAACGCAAAATAGCATGGAGAAAACATTCCAAAATAAAAGACGTAGAGGATTTCCTGGAGGAACAAGGATTCGAGGAAAGAATTGGGTAAATTTGTGACACCACTTTCTGTAATTCCTTTAGCATTACATTTCGCATCCTTTTAGTAATATTATCGAGCAAAAGTCCGACAAGGAGCTTTTTCATCTTGATACAAATACAACAGAACCTGCTATTTTGAGCAAAAAAGAAAAGAGGAAGATATTAACAGAGAAACCTCTAAGGAGTTTTTCTGCTTTCCAACAACCAGTTTACCTTAATTTAAAGTAAGATTTTATCAATATATTAACTATTGGCATAATAATGATAACCAATTGCATTTATAGAAGTAACACAAAACGAGATATTATCTCAAAAAGGTTACAAAAGCGGTTAAAAATGAAAGCAAAAGAAACTTTGAAACCTTCAGAAGTGCAGTCATTAAAAGATACAAAAATAGCTATGGAGAAAAAAAAGCAACAAGCAATGGAAGATAAATATAATGCTGATTTATGGATTACAGAAGGTATGTTATTTTTACTATAATTATTATTTTTAATAGACTACAGTTGTATTTATTACGCTGCATATGTCTCAGATTCAAGGGAACCAGAACTTCAATCAGAATGGGTAAGCAACAGTACAAGGCAGAATATTTTACGTGGAGAGAGCAAATTTCGCAAAATACTTCCCAAAATAACTAGGTGGAAGCAAACCATTTTACCTTCAGTTGAACCACCTCACCCAGGGATGTCGTACAACCCTTCCTTTGAAGATCACCAAGCATTACTGAAAGAAATCGCTGATAAAGAACAGAAAATTATCAAAGAAGAACAACATTTAAATCGAGTCACAAACAAAATGTTTAGAAAAATTACTCGTGAACGGAATCAGGTACATCTTTTGTATTAATTGCAATTGGACTGCCGTCTTATGAACATTAATATGAAGTGTAATTATTACTTTTTTGTTTTCTTTTAGGAAAACTGGATAGAGGAGATGTCTCAGGGTTTGCCCCATGCACAAAAAGAGGATAATTCAGACAGCGAAGTGGACACAAGTGGCCCCATTTCTGTAAATCCTCCTGTTGTTAACAAGAAAAAGGATTTGAAACAACGACGGAAACAAAAGGAACAGCAAAAGCTCCGTCATGCCCTCAAACTCGCAAAAATCGAAAGACGAAAAGTAGCTGATATTTACAAACTGAAACAGATCAAAACAAAATTAGTGAAAAATGAAGAGAAACTGGAGACACTCCAACAAAAAAGAACAGTCAAAAAGAAGGAGATGATCCATAAACCCAAACGAGTGGGCCCAAAGAAATATGAAGAGCCTGATTTGGAATTTACAGAAATTAAAGATCTCACGGGGAACCTAAGAACACTTAAAAAAGAAGGCAACCTGCTCATGGACAGGCTGAAGAGCTTACAGAAAAGGAACATTGTAGAACCGACTGCCAGACGTACCAAGAAGAAGGCTAAGGTGAAACAGTTCATTAAACCGGGACACAAAGATGATTGGAAGGTTACTGTGGCCAAAGCAAAATTACAGCCTAGACCCTTGCTCAGGAACAAGAAAATTATCAGTGGGGATAGTTTTTAAGGTAAGAAGTGTTATGTATTAATGCAAAGAAATAAATTCAGGCAAATATAGAGGAAAAATTAATAATTTCTTTGATCCACTCATCAAAATGGACAATATTTAAAGATAAATGAGGACCAAAAATTAGTAGTTTTTGTTTCTTCAAAATTACATATAGCAGAATCAACTTTGTAATATGTATTGTCTTAAATACAAACCTCCCTATCTGTTTGAATTATTTTAGACTTTTCTACCCGCAAATTTCGGTGTTGGGGGGAGGGGGAGAACACCGATGTTTTTCTAAATGCGAGTAAAGATCAAATCGATAGCATTGGATTCCTCAAAAATAAAAAAAGATATCTGTATGGAAAACTTTTATTAGTTTTAATCGAATATTATCAGTTATATATATATATATATTATTTATATATATA